TACACAGGGAGAGATCCGTCGGTGAAGAAACCAGGTTGGTTGAGGCAAAAAGCACCACAAGGGGAGAAGTATGAAGAGGTGAAGGAAACGCTATCTGGGCTTAAACTTAACACTGTTTGTGAAGAAGCTCAGTGTCCTAATATTGGAGAATGTTGGAATGGTGGTGGAGATGGTATTGCTACTGCTACAATTATGCTTCTTGGAGATACTTGTACGCGTGGGTGTAGATTTTGTGCTGTTAAGACTAGTAGAAATCCTGCTCCTCCTGACCCTATGGAACCTGTTAACACTGCTAAAGCTATTGCCAGTTGGGGGTAATTTTTCTCTCTGTATATAACATGTTGCTAGGAGCTTTTTTCTTTCTTTTGATTTGATAATGGTGTAGTATTAGAATGAAATGGGCCCAAAATAGAGCGCATTTGCCAAGAGTATTTCTTATATGATTAGAGCTTTTCACTTATTGAGGTAGGGATCAGTATGAGCTTTTGAGAATTGGAATGCAGTCGGCTCCTATGGAGCGGAATGGTTGTAGGGGATGATCTAACCTTTCCTGACTACTGGATTGATGTGTTGTTGATTGATTGTTAACGATTAGTATTTTACAGTCACTAGCAAAACTTATTTGCGTTGTGCTTGAATTTGTGTAATCGTTGTAGAATATTGCTTATAGGAATGGAGTACCATATGAAACAACTTCATTTAGGGTGTATGATGGAGCCTTGATTAAACTGATGTGTACCGAATGTTCTTGCTTGTCTTTTTGCAAAGTTGAAGCTTTTTTATTGCTATCACAATACCCGGAAGTAGCTTATGTTTTTACGGTGAATTTCGTGTATATGTTATGAAAAAGAGTTCCTTGATTTTCTTCTGCAGTGTGGATTACATTGTCTTAACTAGTGTTGATCGTGACGATATACCTGATGGAGGGAGTGGTCACTTTGCTGAAACAGTCAAAGCAATGAAGGTCCGGAGTTGATTTTTATTTGTAAACCCAGTGTATGTTGTTTTATTCAAAAATGTGGTACATGATTGGATCAAGTGCAACTAACTGGGTTTGTGCCTACATGATTTTCTCAGTTGCTCAAGCCTGATATCATGGTCGAGTGTTTAACTTCTGATTTCCGTGGTGATCTAAGTGCCGTGTCTACTCTAGTGCACTCTGGATTGGACGTTTTTGCACACAACGTTGAAACTGTGAAACGACTTCAACGCATTGTTAGAGATCCTAGAGCAGGGTAAGTTCTGGAGAACTCTTTCTTCTTCTCAGTTTGGTGCTGTGAATACTCCTATTTTTTTTTGTCATTTACAGCTTTTATTGATGAGTATGTCATTTATAGATTTTCTATACAGCCAGTTGGTTTTGCCAGATGTTAGAGACTTGATGTGTACTCTGAACTGAAATATTGATCTATGCCGTTGTTGTCCCAAACTTGATGATTTACCAACCATTTATTAAGGAAGAGTACATGCAAGAATATTACAGTTGGTGTTGCCTTCTCTTTTTTAATCATTAAGATGTTGGGTTTTTTGTCTGCTAAGTGATAACTTATGGATGAAACTTGAGCACGACATTTTGGTATTTTTGGCAATTCTAACTATCCCCTTAGTAAGGTCATCTTATGGTCATATTGTAAATTTTTTCAGACGGTTATGGTCAAAATGTATTTGTGTGCTTTCTATCAAATTTTGAACACTCCTACTGATGGAGGATAGCATATTCCTCCTTCATTCATTACTTTGAGGACTGGTAGGAGGTCCATTTATTGTTTAAGGCACAGGGAGGGAGGGTGCTATCTCCTCAATTGAAAGTTTAGTACTAGATATGGATTTTTAAGTTTGGACTCCAAGCTTTATTGGTGTAGGTGAGGAAAAACCCAAAATAGTCCTTACTTTTGGGCATTAACTCAAAATCATCTCTTAACTATATGGTGGAGCACTTATAGGCCTCCAAGTATTCAAATTGATCTGTTTAAATACAAAAAGGAAGAATCACAGAAGTGCCAAAATTGCACATGTCTGGCTCTAAAACATAAAGAAAAGCTCTTTTCCCATGCTTCTCGTTACTTTTGAAGAAGCACCTAACTACATTTATAGGCATATGCCATACTCGTACCAAGTGGAGAAAAATCTTTGAAATTACATAGAAGAAAATATGAACTGAGAACATTACGTTTAGATGAATCTAATAACAAACAGACAAAATATGAAGATGAAATTAAAAGAATCCATTTAGATGTGTGAAGCGGGTCTAGGTTCATGATAATGCATTGTGCTTTCTAAATTCATACTACAAATAGTTACAGTGGAGCGGGAGAAGAAATTGGTGTGGAAGTGGGTGTCGGGGGATGGTCGATGCTTTGTACCGAAAAGAGAAGTTTAAGCTCCCTCAGTTTCTATGAACTTTTAGAGTTAAGAGGGTACATTAGTTACTGTCAGGCTGCTGGAGTGGCTATTTTCATTATGACAGGTAGCTCAAGGTTAGGAAGCATGATGTTTTGTGAATTAGAACTTCTAGAATGGCTGGTACTCCATCTCCAAGCAAGAATCAATTGAAATTATTACTTTATCAAGTGATCTGACAGCAATTAAAGCATCAAATTAATGAAAGTCTCCTCTTTTGGACTTTGCTCTCTCTTCATCAAACACGCTGCTATATTCCCAAGCATGCCAATGTAAAAAGAACCTCAGTGGTTTAATGAGGAAAGTTGACTATCAGGCATCAGCTTACCTCTTCCTATGTTGTTCCTGATAAAAGAAGAAGAGTATCCAATCATAACTAATGGAATCACTTCTGGGTTCACAAATTGAGTTGGTTCATAGTTACAAATGGAGTAAACAATGACTTAACCTAGATATACATTAAAAGGGAATGTCAACTGATATCTGGTTCATATCAGTTCTAAGTGTAAAAAGCAAATGTGGCATATAAACTGAAGACAGTGTAAATTAAACAATCATCTTTTAGTCTGAAGGGGAGAAACATAATGGAAATGCAAAACTGATGCAGAAAGCTGGATTTTGCAGTAATCAAGCCAGTCCTAATGGATGAATCTGATTGAATGTGCAAGAATGGTGGTCCTTATTATCAAATAAAAAGGGAAATTGATAAATTCTAGAGCACTAAGCATAATTTCCTATGTGGGAAAAAACTGATCCAAAATTTCTATGAATTTATGAATTGCTTGCACATCATAATAAACTTGTCTGATACTTGTCCCTGGAATAGGAATAATGATAATAATTACTAGTATGAGATGCTAAATGATTTCACATTGGATGATGCAGGTATGAACAAAGTCTATCTGTGCTTAAACATGCAAAACTCGATAAGAAAGGGATGATAACAAAAACTTCTATAATGTTGGGACTTGGTGAAACTGATGATGAGCTGAAGGAAGCCATGGCTGATCTTAGGGCCATAGATGTTGATATTTTGACGCTGGGCCAATATTTACAGGTGAGCAATATGGTACCCGGGATTCAAACTCTAGATGAAAAGTTGCTTTACTGGTTCAAATCCTATGTAACTAACTACTTATGAAATGGCGTACTGGTTTCTGCTGTCTTGTCACTCCTGTTTTCTCAGAAGACTTCATTTAATCTGTTTTGATGTTTGAAGTTTGTGCTCCACTGATGCTGTATCTTTTTTCATCGTATCTCCTCTCTGAGGCTCCTAGCAACTTAGACTAACAAAGTTATCTCTCATTTATGCAGCCAACCCCATTACATCTTACCGTCAAAGAATATGTTACCCCCGAAAAGTTTGCTTTTTGGAAGGACTACGGAGAGTCTATTGGCTTCCGTTATGTTGCCAGTGGTCCCTTGGTAAGACCTTACACTAATATCAATCTCCTTTCAATAAGAAATGCCTGCTTTTGAAGTTTGATCTTAGTTTTTCAATGTGGAAATTCTAACTAGATCATGAATGGTACTAGTGAATTTACAGCTAACTCTTCTGAAACAGGAGAATCGAACTTAGCTCGTTCTTAATCATGTCATCTGTTAAGCTTGCAATCTTCTTTTTGACTGCTCGAATTATGTAAGCTTTGTGATTTAACAGAGTTTTTTCTTCTCCAGGTTCGATCCTCCTACCGAGCAGGAGAACTGTTTGTTAAGACAATGGTGAAAGAGAGTGCCAGAAATGCACAAACTATGTCACAATAGTTTGCTGCCTCTTCTCTCACACATACATACAAGAAGCTGCAATGATTTTTTGGGGGAAGATTGATGATTTTGGCAAGAACAAGAAATGTGAACACACAATACTCTGTAATCACAGCTATGAATGAACCTTACAGAGCCTTAAAAGGCCAATTTTGCTTTTTGATTGTTGTACTTTTCCTCCTTTAATTCTGTTAAAGTTATTATTCTGTATACAAACTAGAAGCAAATTAGTTTGTTAAATCAATTTCTTTGATTCTAGTAGATGTTTGGAAAAATTGTGTAATCAATTGTTTTCCTTGGAGGTTCTGGTTTTATGTGCCCCTTTTGTTTGCAATTATCCCTTTTATGCTATATAACAAAACAAGGTAAGAATCTATGTCAAACCTTTTATTACAACAAGAGGTGAAAGCTTTGAGTGGATCATGGATGGCTTAGTTTTTTTCCTTACCCCCTCGTAAGAGCGATTCAAACTCACAATCTTAGGGTTTGTTTAGTAGTAGGGTATGTGAAAACTAATCTCGAGATCATTTGCACGATAAAATCATGATATAACTTATCCTGAGATTAGTTATCTCGTAAATAATTTCAAAATAACTTGTTATCAACCAAATGAGCCTTTAGGACTAGTTATCCCGTGATTGTAATGTGGTGATATATAACTACTAATTTCGAAATAACTTGTTTCGTACCAAACCAGCCCTTATAGTTGAAAGTGAGGGGTGCTAGGTGTTCGAAAATATATTTGAGGGACTACTGTGAACTTACCTAGAACATGAGGGAGGGATCTGTTGCGTCATTTTCTCTACAAGCCCTCAAAAGGACACTATATAAACCATTTGTCACATTTTTTTGCTGAACAAAAAGCTCGAATTCCCCCATTGAAGAGAGAGAAAAGGAAGAGAGAGAGAGAGAGAAATGGCGAGAGATAGCTGCTTGGCGCGTGTGACGGCTGGGGTGGCCGTCGGTGGTGCAATTGGTGGCGCTGTTGGTAAATTCCTTCAAACTTTTCTTCTAAAACCCTACTAACCATTTTTCTCATTTTTGCTAACTTTTTTTTTGCTCTTAATCGATACTGTTGCTGTAATTGGCTTGAGAAATGACTAATTAAATGGAGTTATATAGTCGTTGAGGATTCATATAGCACACCCTGACTTGTTTGGGACTGAGGAGTAGTTGTTGATGTCATATATCAATTGTGTTCTAAATTTTATGAGCTTGTTTGATCTGGTAATACAGTCAATGAGGGCTCATATAGCAAACGCCAGCCTGTTTGGGACTGAGGAGTAGTTGATGTCATTGCTCAATTGTGTTCTAGATTTTATGAGCTTGTTTGATTGAGTAATATAGTCAATGAGGGTTCAAATAGCCAACACCAGCCAGTTTGGGACTGAGTAGTAGTTTGATGTCATTGCTCAATTGTGTTCTAGATTTTATGAACTTGTTTGATTGAGTAATATAGTCAATGAGGGTTCAAATAGCCAACACCAGCCTGTTTGGGACTGAGGAGTAGTTTGATGTCATTGCTCAATTGTGTTCTAGATTTTATGAGCTTGTTTGACTGAGTAATATAGTCAATGAGGGTTCAAATAGCCAACACCAGCCTGTTTGGGACTGAGGAGTAGTTTGATGTCATTGCTCAATTGTTTTCTAAATTTTATTAACTTGTTTGATCAAGTAATATAGTCAATGAGGGTTCATATAGCCAACACCAACCTGTTTGGGACTGAGGAGTAGTTGATGTCATTGCTCAATTGTGTTCTAGATTTTATGAACTTGTTTGATAGTTATTGCTAACTCTACTTATTTGAGCGTTTTATTGTTGATTTCAAGTGTGATAGAAGAGGAAAGGTGGTGTATGTAGAAAGGAGGACTAGAAACAGTCATGATGTGGTCAATGATCTAAATGGGTCCTAGTAGAGTGGAATTGCAATAGAAGATTTCCATTAAAGATCCTGACTAGTTTGGGATTGAGGCATAATGGATGGACTATTTGGGAATTGATTGATGACATTGCATAATTAGATGGTGATTTTGTGGGTTTATCAATGTTACTGATAGGAAATGGCAGAAGGGAACTCTTATTTAATAAACCTCAGGGTAGGGCCTTCACACTGGAAAGATCGTATCCATAGTTAATGAAGGGTGACAGAGCTTGAGTACAGAAACATTAGCTATTAGTTTCCATTAGTGGAATGGAATGGGTTGGACTAGAGAAGAATGGTATAATGGATTCATATAGCTGACCTGCTAGTTTAAGATTGAGGTGTAGTTGATTGTTTGGGCTGAGTATTAGCAGAAAATGTGTGAAGAGGTTAGAGCTTTCTTTGTAGGACTTTAAGTAGACTTACTAAAAAATTCTGCGTAGTAATTCTTTTTTTGGGATATCTGAGAAATCCCCGAGGGTCGGCAGCTCATAGTTTGAAACTTGATGAGTATTGGGCCTGTTCCTCTACCCTTTTCTACTTAAATACTAGGCTTTTATCTGTGAGTTTGAATCCATGACGTGTGCCAACCAACACTTGAGTGCTACTCCCTTACCACTAGATCAAAGCTCTTGGGGCCTTTGCTTAGTAATTTTTATCATATTATAAAAAAGAAACATCTAATTTTCTTAATTGGCATCAGCAGATAAAATGCATGCAAAATTTCTTTTAAGAAGATAATAAAGAACGAGCAACCTTTTCTTGTTGATAAGGTAATATAAAGTCGAGCAACTGTCTTTTTGATAAGGTAGATAAAAGACAAGAAACCTTTTACGAATTGGATTTAGATGTGTTACAACTGGCAATTAGATTGCCACATTAAGAAGTATGATTACTTTTATGGCAATGTCTCAATCAGACATTACTGAAAGAAGATTCAGTAATTTGAACTGCATTTGATTCGTGGTTCATTTGTAGGTGCTGTTTATGGGACATATGAGGCTGTTAGATACAAGGTAAGTTCTTCATCCTTTTCTACCTTCTCCTTTCTTTTTTTGTATTATTTAATTTACTGGCTAGATTTAATGTCAATTCTCCTCTTCTTGGTTTGAGTACTACAAATAAATGTCCTTATCAAAAGAAGTAGTGCAAGTAAATAATCTAGGTTTAACCTTGGCCTTTAATCATTGATTTCATTGAAGTGCCTTCAAAGCTATATACATGTGGAATGAAACTGCAGTTTATGGTTGACGGTTAGCCAGCTTGCAGTGCAGGCTTCGGAATTCCCACTCAATGTTTTTAAACAATAGAAACATATTTTAATCTATCAACAATATCATGTAGGGGTCTTAACACTTTGTTTTCCAAGGTATCCAGATTGTGGTTTATGTTAGACCTTCATGACATGTTTGCGTGATGACTAGAATCTACATCAACAACTCACTCATTTCCAGAAAAAAATTGCATGCTTATTTTTGTTGAGTGAAAACGAAAACAACAAATGAAGTTCAAAAAGCTACCTGTGTTTTCCTGGACAACTCAGACGTCAAGTAATGGACAAGCATTACTGAGGGCGTTGAGGATCTTACTTACGAGAGAAGTAGCTCTTTCTTTTTCTTTTTCATTGTACTTGATTTCTGGCTTCTGCCTTTACTACTATCTGTTTCTGGATAAATAAATTATAAATAAGGATTCTGCTTTGATCTTTTTGTTTCTTTACCTTTGTGTCGAGATGTCTAATGGTTTTTTTCCTCCTTTCGCGATTGAGATGCAAGTGAAATCTGTTGATTGTCAAAGTTTCATGTTGTGGTTCCCTTATTATAGTCTTCTTACATTTGCTCAAATTTGTTGAACTTTTGATATGGTTATTAAAGTTTTCCTGCCATACTATTAGCCCATGACGGCATGAACTTTCTGAATATTTTGTAGGTTCCCGGCTTAATGAAAATTCGATACATTGGCCAAACTACTCTGGGAAGTGCTGCCATTTTTGGTCTCTTTTTGGGAGCTGGAAGCTTGATACACTGTGGAAAGTCATACTGAGGATCTCTTTACTCTTTTTGTCTCAAAGAGTATAGAACAATATCATCAACATTATCAGAAGCATGCTTCGTGTTCTTCCAATTTGCTTTTCATTCTGTAATTTTCCGGTTCAAACCGAGTTTTCTCTTAGCTTTTACCTCCATTTAATGGTGGAGCCTTACCCGTTGTGAATCTTGATTAGTCGAGCTAGTGGATTTCAGAGACCGGATGGGTTAAACGAAAAAGAAGTGTTGGAGAGTTTCACTCGTAAAAGTCGAAATTCGAGAACAATATCAAAGAGTTCGAAGATGTGTGTGTCATGAGTGATTTAATAATCCTTTAGCATTATTTGAGGAACTTATTCATTTAAACATTATCTCATTCATGGTATGGTAAAGTCCATGCAAAAAGAATAATATATTGGGTTGATTTAAGTTGAAACAAATATGAATTTCTATATATCGTGTATAATCATGAAAATTTTAATGGACAAATTTAAAGGATCAAAAATGTTCGATGCATATTTCAAAAGATTATTACGAACCTAGTTTTAAACATATACGACCATGATGATTGTTTTCCCTACTTTCGATTATAAAAAGAAAAATATTAAATTTTAAGACAAATGGAAAGTAAATATATGCATGTCTGTTTACTATCCTTTTCGTACTAGTAATATACTTCTTTCCTTTTTTAAACACTATTAACATCCTTATATATATACTTTGTCTTAATAAGAGCTAAGTTTTTGCTTTTTTAGTTGAGAAAAAAAAATATACTTCTTTTATCTTCTCCTCCTCACCATTCCTTTGAAGTTCTTCCAAATAAGTCAAGCATTCGAGTCTAAAAATCTTACAGGTTAGACAGATGTTTCGTATTCCAAACTATTTTTAAAATAAAAATATTGATATACTCTGCATTATCACTAGTGTTATTTTTTTTCCAGCCATGAATCTAAGCTTATTTAAAGTGCCAATGCCTGTTGGTGTCTGCTTGGTTTTAGTAAGTTTTCTAGAGCTAAAATATTTACTAAGTCAATTTCATATTAAACCAATAATAATAATTTAGCTAACTTTTTTCTTTTGTCACATGTAGTTACTCATAATAGTATTGGTACCTGCTGTATTGATACCTTTTTGGGTCCATAAGGTCAAAATAATTGAAGGAGAGATTAAGGTACTGTCACACATCTATAGACTATTTTTAGTTTAAACATTTTGTGTAACGACTATTTAGGTTAATTCTTCGTATGGTTGAATTTTTCAGGTGTATAATGTACATGATGTTCTACAACGCGATTATCACAAGAACATTAAATTTGGATTTATGTTAATTATCTTAATGATAGTTTCTTTGGCTATATCTATAGTTACTTTTGTTATACTAACAATAAGAGCAGCAAGAAGAGAAATGTATTTGTGTTCTGCACTTATAAAGCAAATGGAAGCAACTCAACAAGCTGAGAGGAAGAGTATGAATAAAAGTACTGCATCTGCTCGCGCAAACCATGATGTTAGAGCTTCTCTTGCTGGAATAAGTGGATTGATTTGGATGTGTCGCGTCCAGGCTTCACCTCAATCTGAATTGGTGAAGTATTTGGATCATATGGAGTCCTGCAAGAACGATCTTTTAGGTTAGTGTTTTGTTAGCTTAGTCGGATTAAACTTAAATACTCTGAAGCTTTTATAGTATAGTGAAGTGTTTGGATCATATGGAGTCTTGCTTGAACAATCTTTTAGGTTAGTGTTTTGTTAGCTCAGTCAGATTTAGCTTATATACTCCGAAGCGTTTGGTATTTGGATCATATGGAGTCTTGAAAGAATGATCTCTTAGGTTATTGTTTTGTTTGCTCAGCCAGATTTAACTTATATACTCTGAAGCTTTTATAGTATAGTGAAGTGTTTGGATCATATGGAATCTTGCTAGAACGATCTTTTAGGTTAGCGTATTGTTAGCTCAGTCAGATTTAACTTATATACTCTAAAGTTGTTTATAGTATAGTAAAGGATTTGGAATTTTGGATCATATGGAGTCTTGAAAGAATGATCTTTTAGGTTAGTGTTTTGTTAGCTCAGTCGGATTTAGCTTATACTCTGAAGCGTTTATAGTATAGTAAAGTGTTTGGATCATATGGAGTCTTGAAAGAATGATCTTTTAGGTTAGTGTTTTGTTAGCTCAGTCGGATTTAACTTATATACTCTGAAGCGTTTATGGTATAGTAAAGTATTTGGATCATATGGAGTCTTGTTGGAACGATCTTTTAGGTTAGTGTTTTGTTAGCTTAGTCGGATTAAACTTAAATACTCTAACAATCTAAGGAAAACGTTTATAGTAGCAAAGTATTTAAACATATTATGTTTATAGAAGGTCATCTGTCTTATTTTATTGCGCGATTAGCGGCTATGTAACTTCAAAGTTATGATCTTTTTCCTTCAGACATGTTGAATTCGATTCTTGACGAAAACAAGATTGAAGAAGGGAAGAAGCAGCTTAAAGAAGAAGAATTCAACATGGAAGAGTTAGTAGAACATGTTGTCAATATCTATTACCCGAATGGAGCAATGAAGAATGTCGATGTGTTACTAGATCCATGTGATGGTTCTATCGCGAGATTCTCTCGTGTTAAAGGAGACAGGATAGAATTGCAAAGGATCTTGAACAACCTGTTGCAAAATGCAGATAAATTTACATCAGAAGGACACATCACTCTTCGTGCTTGGGCTCGAAAACCTGGTTTTGAGGAAAGTTCCAATCTTGCTCCGAATACAAGTGATTCTAGTATTAGTTGTATGCCATGTTTACGTTTACAGAAAGATGAAGCCTCTGCAGAAGTGCGAGTGCTGAATAGAGTTCAGCAAGATCCTAACTGTGTGGAGTTCATATTCGAGGTAGATGATACAGGGAAAGGAATTCCGAAAGAGAAACAGAAGTCAGTTTTTGAGAATTATGTTCAAGTTAATGATCAGACAACTTCTGTTCATGGATCACAAGCAGGCACTGGCTTAGGCCTCGGCATTACTCAGTCGTTGGTACATATTTCTTTTACCATACACTGCGGTCTACGTACAGTAGCAAATTCAAAATTTAGAGTCGGTGTGTTCTGCTTTTTATGACAATCTGATGATATCATTATAGAAACATTTCAAGATTTGCTTCATAGCGCGTTTAATGAATTTCATACTTTACCTCCTTATTTACGTTCATTTTTCAGGTACGTTTAATGGGAGGTGAGATAGGTATCGTCGACAAGCAAATTGGTGAAAAGGGCACTTGCTTCAGATTCAACATTTTCCTAATAGCATGTGATCAACCTCAACTTCAAGAACATGAAGCAATTAGTGTTAATTGTGCAAAAGAAGAAGATTTAGAGTCTCAATTAGGAGGAGATTATTCAGTAGCAAGTGATAATAGTATCACTAGTCATCAAAAATCCAATGTCATTCTTTTCATTAAGGAGGAAGAAAGAAGTCGAGTTCTTCGTAGATTCATGATGAATGTACTAGGCTTGAAGGTACATGTTGTGAATCGAAACGAGCAGTTTCCTCAAACCCTCAAGAAGGTGAAAGGGAAGATAACCAACTCCTCTTCGTCCTCGTGTAAATCAAAGGAAATTCCCCTCAGTTCTCTAGATGGAACAGATATCGATATCTCATCATTTCAGAGGAGAGGCAGAGGACTTGTTATAAGATTCATCTTGATCATAATTGACACAAGTGATGGACTAACTCGAGAAATGAGTCGTGCTATGGCTGAGTTACGAAAGGACTTCCCTAAGAATGTGTCTCTTCGTGTTGTTTGGCTCGATAAACCAGGTGTAGATGAGGATAAGCTACCTTCAACAGATATAGTCCTTACAAAACCACTACATGGTTCTCGTTTATTTCGTGTCCTCAAATTTACACATGAAACAACTTCAAGAATCAAGATTCAACAACATCCATTAGTACAAGATGTTTTTGTTGATGTTAATAAGAAGTTACCTTTAACAGGAAAGAAAATCTTGGTGGTTGAGGATGATAGGATGCTACTTATGATTTGCAGAACCGCGGTTTCTAAGCTTGGTGCAACCGTTTACACATGTAAAAATGGTCAAGAAGCTCTAGATGAAGTCTGCAAAGGCCTTAATGAACAACGCGATATAGGATCATCCACTCCTTCACCACCATTTGATTATATTCTAATGGATTGTGAGGTAAACATGTTAACTACACCGATACTGTTACATTGTCAGTATATATAACTTAATTACATCGTTGTTTGTTTTGTGACAGATGCCGGGGATGAATGGATTTGAAGCAACGAAATGCATTAGGAAAGAAGAGGCGCGATATGGAATTCGAATACCTATAATAGCTTTCACAGCACATACAGAAAAGGAAGAGATAGATAAGATTTTTCAAGCTGGAATGGATTATTACTTACCTAAAGAAAGCAAAGGTGAAGAGATTTTGAAAGTCATAGATTATATAGAACATACAAAGGTTTCAAAAATGTTTTAAGTAAAAAAACTTTTTCGATATATCAAATCAACAGATGCATGACATGTGTATTTTATCACTTATTAATATGCTCGAGTTGGTAAAATTTTCATTTCTAAAGTTTGAGCACCAACTATGACCTCTAACGGATCATCTTTCCTAAACCTTGTATACGCGCGTTTATAACTTATTTTGTTAGCAGGTATTTCGAGGCTCTATCGAAAATTGTATCTATACATACCTCTACGAGGTAAACTAACGTCTGAATACGCTCTGTTCTCCTAAACCTCATTTGTGAGATTTCACTGAATATGGTGACAGATTCTTGCATAGTTTAGATGTGTAATTACCAATTTCACGTTAGTATATGTGCGTTTCTATAAAGGTCTTATCCCTTTTTAGTAATTCAGATAAATTATAGTCGTTTGGTTCATCAGATAAGATGGAATATCATAAACTAATTGAACATTTGAATAAAAAATTTTTCTATATTTCTTTTTGGCTAGAATTTGCATAATATTATAGTACGACTAGCAAGTATTTTATAGTCAGTACTATAGAATCCTAACCAAAAATATTAACACAAAAATTATATTTTAACTAAGCAATTTTCTCATTGGTAAAGCATTCCCTCAATTGGACTATTGCCTTCTTTGAACCAGTTGTGTGAATAATATCACAACACTCACATCGATCCATCTGGAAAAATAAAATAAAAAAATTAATATTTATTATAACAACTATATATACTCAAACAAATCTGCAAATTATAATTAAGTGTAAGAACTATAAATATTTGACTTATTTTTAATAAGTGAGTTTGAAAATATACTCTAGAATAAGTATGCAAATCATAATTAAGTGTAATAATTAAATATTTGACTGAAAATTCACTTATTTTTATTTTGAAGTTAATTTGAAAATATACTCAAATATATATATATGTGCTAATAAATATTTGACTGAG